GAAGCAACGACTGCCTACTAAAGCTCTCGTGAATCTCTGTAGCCGTCAATGTCAAGACGTGCACGAGTAGTGACTCATCTACGAAAGCCCATTTCAGCCGTTTACAACTGGAATCGAAGTTCTTCGGACAGATCTCAAAGACTCGCGACAGCAGGCAAACAAGGGAATGAAGATCGACTTCGAAACTCAGCTCCGTTTTGGTCACACCGGTTCGGGCTAGTGTACACCGAACCCCATTGGATATTCCAATTCGCAGGTCAATCTCATTATCAAATTCTCCATCATCACTAAACATGACTCCGAGTTACCACAACTTTTCCACTTGCTGAACTGTTTCTCAGTTTTTTTGAAGTGAGGAAAACAAGAAAGCACTAGGCTTTTTGTTATCGATACGTTCACACACACGCGGCCACGTCGAACTCGGTTACGAACCTTTCCAAGGAGCACTATAGATCGGTTTCAGAAGATGCCAATGAAACAACGTCAGCAACCTTCTCGTCGTCATATCTCCTACACCGACGCAATCATCGCCTTGGCTACCCTTGACTATTCTATCCATGTACAACACAAACAGGACAGAGGACATGACGCAGCCTTGGCGGAGACCAGTGCGAACGTTGAATGATTTCGACTTAACGCCATTAACTCTGACGCAGCACCTGCTCTCAGAATACAGTGACTGGAAGACCCTTAGCAGCTGGCCACCAATCCTGTATGCACGAAGGCATGTCCACAGACTGTTGCGTGTGATCCGGTCATACGCTTTCTCTAGGACCACCGGCTGGGCGTAGTCCCACGATTTCTGGCGCAGGGCAAATATATAGTCAGAGGTGCTTCGACCGGGCCGGAAGCCACACTCTTCTTCTTGGATCTTGAGGTCAACTATTTCACGGCACCTGCTTTCTAGCACCTTTGCGTAGACTTCACCTGGGAGTCTCAGTAACGTTATGCCCCTATAATTGGAGCATTCCTTGTGGTCTCCCTTCTTGAATACTGGTACAATAA